ATTGGTATTGATCCCATATGAACAGTTAGGAAAATATCCAACTAAACAACTGACTAACACTGTGTACAAATACTGTGTCAAGCCTTACAGAGACAGGAGAGGACAAGGGATAGCTTCTGAGGATTCCTGGGTGTGCCGGATAGTTTTATGCCAATTTGACACAAGCTAGAGTTATCCAAAAGGAGGGATCTTCACCCGAGAAAATGCCTTTATATGATCTGCCTGTGGGGTATTTTCTTAATTAGTGATTGATAGTGATAGCTGATTGTGTCGGAGGTTTTTTTTCCCTGCTGGTCCCGTGACCCTTAAGCCCCAAATAAACACACATATTAATTATTAAAGTATTGGCTGATGACTAGGGTTTCTTATTGTCTAGCTCTGTCTTAATTATTAACCCATTTCTATTAATGTATTTTCACGTGTCTTATCTTACCGGAGAATGCCTGATGCATCCTTTCTTCTTAGTCCTTACATGGAGACTCTGTGCTCCTATGTCTCCCAGAATTCTCATCTCCTAGCCCTGCCTATACTTCCTGTCTGGCCAATCAGTCAATCAGTGTTTTATTCATCAACCAATAAGAGAAGCATATATACAGAATGACTTCCCCCATCAGCCCATTGTGGGTGGTGCCCTGGGCTGGTGGTCCTGGGTTCTATGAGAAAGCAGACTGATCAAGCCAGGGGAAGCAGACTAGCAAGCAGCACCCATCCAAGGCCTCTGCATCAGCAACTGCCACTAAGTCCTTGCCTTGTTTGAGCTGCTGTCCTGATTTCCTTCAGTGATGGACTATGATGTGGAAATGCAAGCCAAAGAAACCCTTCCTTTCCTAACTTACTTTGGGTCATAGTGTTTCATTGCATAAACAGACTAAGACAATGGAACATGGTGTCTATTCTCCAGGTGCTTGTAGTTTCATGAGGGCTGGGGAGATGTTCCTATAGATGTGGCCTCAAAAGTGATTAGGCATGCCGAGCATGGTGGTACACACCTTTAATCCCAGCAAAGAGATCTCTGTGAGTTCGAGGCCAGGCTGATCAACAAAGTGAGTTCCAGGACAGCCAGGACTACACAAAGATTAAGCATCAAATATTCACCGATGCCAGCCTTTAACCACACAATTGAAAGGGTCCGGATTAAAAGCACTTCGGCTATTACTGATCAGTGTGGTTATACTGCAGGAGCCCATGATAGCTCAGTGAGAAATCACAACATTGCAACTGATGATCGTGATGCAGCTTTTGACAGGAGGTCATTGTCAATCCACCAGTCAGCCTGTCCCTCCCCAGAGAACTTCAGTTCATCTTAATTTCTCTAGAAGACTGGTCAATCTGTTTTAGAAAGACACAGATGTAAGTATAGCTGAAATTAGCCACATTTTTAAAAAATCAGATCAAAATGCAATGAAGGCTAGAACAATTGAAAGGAGGCCCAGGCTCTGTAGAGAAATCTCCCAATTGACTCTTCTGTGCTTGGCTCTACAAATGGTAAATCCTCTGCATTGGGTGTGTGGTGATCTGAATAGGATTGTCTCCCCTCCCCCACATAGGCTTATTAAAATTTTAAATTCGTGACCATTAGGGAGTGGCCTTACTAGACAGACAGGGATTGGGAGGTGAGGCCTTGTTAGAGGAAGTATGTCCCTGGGAGTGGTCTTTAAATGCTCAAGTCAGTCCCAGTGTTTCTCTCTCTTCCTGCTGCCAACAGATCCAGATGCAGAACTCTTAGCCACCTCCCTCTCCAGCACGTCTGCCTGCATGCTGCCAGGCTCCCTGCCGTGACGACAATGGACTACATCCCTGCACCTGTAAGCCAGCCCCAATTAAATGCTTTCCCTTATAAGAGTTGCTGTGGCCGTGGTGTCTCTTCCCAGCAACAGAGCACTGACTACGGCACAGGGCTCAGACACAAAACGAGATACCCAGTTTGGGAAAGAATGTGGGAAGAGAGGCAAGATGACCATTGCCGACTGTCAGCATGGAACCTTCTGTGCCTCCTTCGCATGCTGGAGGATCTCAGAGTGTGGCCTTTTTAAGACGGCATCTTCGTGGAGGGGGAGGTTTAGAGCACACTCGAGGAAGGCAGGTTGGGTGAAGCCGCTAGGAGGATGGCATTAAAAGCCAAAGACAGATACGTGTGAGCCAGAGAGAGATCTTGGCAGACCTCAGAGGAGGGAATCTGGCCGGCACCTTAATTTTGTATATCTAGTCACCATAACCGTGGGACCTCCATTTCTGTTGTTGGAATCACCTACTTTCTGGTTTTTGGTTGCACAATCCTGGTAAAGGACTTCACTACAGGACCCTGAAAATGCCTGAGGCAGCCCTGGAAGATGGGTAAAATGATGCGTGGAGACAGACTCCAAGGGAAGCCAAGTGAAAACCAAAAATGAATGTGGAGTCTATTTTCCCCCCTTACAGACAGGAGATTATAGACCCAGAAGATACGGATCTCAAGGATCTAGAAGCCCAGTTGCTATAGAGGGGGGGTTGCCTCTCACAGCATTGTACGTGGAGGGAGGCCAGACACATCCAGGGACAGTACTTAGAGTCAACCAGAGAATGCCTGTGACTGTAGGGCGCAAATGTCACCTTCCAAGAGTGTAGGCCTCTGTGTTTGTGGAGTCCATGTTTTAGAAGCAGACCACCTGGAATTTCAAGAACACGGTTTCCCTTACAGCCACCTGACCCAGTTTTCTACAAAAGAGGAAAAATGGTGGCCCCACCTCGTAGGCGTATGATGAGCATTACACAGTTTGTTAGCAGTGCCGCCATATCTGTTGGTAGAGGTGTTCCTTGTGACAATAATTTTTTTGAGACAGGGTTTCTCTGGCTGTTCTGGTACTCGCTTTGTAGACCAGGCTGGCCTCGAACTCACAGAGACCCACCTGCCTCTGCCACCTGAGTGCCGGGATTAAAGGCATGCGCCACCACTGCTCGTTGTGACAATAGTTCTTTTCCCTCAGGTTTAAAGCAACACTAGCAAATGGGAGGAAACAATATTGTATGAACACAAATACTATTGGATGACTGGCCACAGGCTATAGGGAAGGTAGCTCTTAGCAGGTGAGACAGTAAACAATTGTTGACCTTTTTGTCTCCAAAATGTTAGCATGATCTGCGCCTCAGTTTAGCCATACTGGCTAATTCTGGACACTGACCAACAGTGTCCATTCTAGTACTTGATCTTGTGAAGGATTATCTTAAAGCTTTGAAGTGTGTTTAAAATTTATCACGTTTATTTGGGCGAGGGCACCCGTGTACGTGGCGCTCACAATGTGGGTCCTGAGGACTGCACTCAAAATCATCAGGCTCTTCGATATGTCTGCACCTTTTACCCAGTGAGCCATCTTGCTGGCTTTGCATTGGCTTTTGGAAGTCAGCTAAAGGTCATCTCAAGGGATCTGTTAAGTCCACAGAACCAAGGCTGAGCAGGGCAGACTAGCCTTTAGAACTTGGCAGGTGAACATCGCCCTTGAGCAATGTCTAGTCCGCTTTTCACCCTAACCGCCCCGGAGCCTGGGTTGTCCAGAGACATCTTGTAGCCAGAACATTGCAGAAGTCCAGTCTCCCTAGCCAAGGACTGTGGCGAAACCTGGTATGGGGACCGTGGTGAAACTGGATTAAAGGGGGTCGTGTACATCGGTGATAAAGATGGGGAGTGTTTGGTCCTTTGAAGCAGACATGCTAGCTGAGAGGCCGTGCCAAGACGTCAGCTGGGCAGAAATGTCGAGGATGGAAAAGCCAAGGGGCACCTACAACATTCCAAAGCATCCCATTATCAGGGTTCAGGAAACTTTGGAGTTGAGACACAGATTTACCCTTTGACCTTCCCCAGATTCGTTGTGAAACCAGAGGGCAGTTTGGGTGACTGTAGCGGCTTTTGCTTGCTGACAGCCCCGCGCGCTCTGGGACCTGCGAGAGGTCACGCCTACCGCGCGACCTAAGAGCGAGAGGCGGGGTCGGCAGGACTGGGCGGGGCCTTAAGGGGAAGGACCGGGTCTAGAGGGGTGGAGCGAACAATTAAGGAGGCGGGGCTGTGGGGGGGAAGGAATGGCGCCGAGGACCGGGCCTGAGGGGAGCGGCGGATCTGAGGGTGTGGAGCAGGTCAGACAGGGCGGGGCTTAAGAGGCGGGAATGGCGCTGATGGGGCGGGGCCTGAGTGGAGCGGCCGCTCTGAGGAGGCGGGACAGGCTAGATCTGCGCGACGAGGGGGGCGGAGCTGGCGGGTGGGGGGGAGCGGGCGCGCTAGGAGATGGGGAGGGGGAGGGGCCTGAGGACGGGGCGGGGCGGGGTGGCGCGGCGCGGCACGCGCACTACCAGCAGCCCGGCCCTGCTGCTGCAACGCCGGTGGCGCAGCCAAGGGAGCAGCTGCAGCCGCGACTCCTTAAATAGCATCGCGACCCGGCGCTGGGCAGTTAGTGGACTGCAGTGACAGCCGCCTGCAGAGCAGCCGGGACAGCGGAGGAGGTGAGTGCGCCAGCCGCGAGGGGCCGCGTGTCGGCCAAGGCGACCCTAGCCGGGCCGAGACTCGAGAGCCGCCCCGCGGGCTCTGCGGGACGTTCCGCTTTTCCGGCCTGGGCTCGGCGGCCTCCTTTCCCTCGGCTTTGGAGGCTCCGGGACCGCCCGGGCGGCCGCCGCTTCCGGTGCCGGAGCTGGGTTCCCCGCGGGCCGCGCGCGCGCCGGGCTGGTGCACCGCAGAGTCGGGGCGCGCCTCGCAGCACAGGTCCCTTGGCTGGGTTGGCGGTAGGAACCAGAGCCCTGCCCGGAGCAGGTGCCAAGAGGTGGTCCTGCCGGCTGGGGACCCTGGCGTCTCCGTCACCTCATCCCTCGTGCCCCAGAGGCAGGACTGTGAGGTGCGCTCGCACCGCGCGTGGAGACGGACTGTCCCGGTGCAGCTCTGTGACGTGCCCCTGCGCCGAGCGTTCGAGGAGGGTCAGAGGCAGAACCCGGAGCCCGATGTCATAAGTAGAAATTCTCGCGGTGTCTCCAAGAGGAGCGCCCACAGCCACTGCACACGGCAGTGATGGAGTCATTGATTTTAGGCAGTCTGGCTTTGAAATTTTTTTAAAATTAGGGAGCAAAAATGGCATTTATCACCTTGAAACGTAGACAGCGAATGCTGTTAGAGGACTTGAAAGAACACGTGGATTAGATTCTAGAGACAGACGCTCCATCTCATCAGTGCCTTATGCCAAGGCTTGAGGCTTGCAGACCATCTTCCCACTGCCCCCAAGCTCATGGTTATAGAGCCTAGCTAAGAATGGCCATTATGAAAATGCCCTGCCGAGACATTCAAGCTTCTTGGAATGTGAGTATTCCCCACAGGACTTGACATTTGCTTGTGTTTCTGGTATACGTTTCAACATGTAATCTGTAGCTATCCCAATGAAAATCATTAGCATAACTCAAACAATCATGCAACCCCTTCTAATTGATCTGGTTCTCGTCATATGTATGTGACTGCTAACTCCACCTGACCTTATGGTGGTCTGCACTGGGCAGGGCTGAGAACATACAGCCAAAAGGAACCATCAGTTTGGAGCACCACGGTGAGGTGCTCAGAATACACACAGGGCCAGGGCTTAGGAGGTGTTCTTTCTTGTAGTTCAACTGAGAAATCCCTTTCTGGTGCAAGTCTGGTTCTTTTGTGAAAGGTCTGCTTTGAGATGAAAATATGTCTTGGGGTAAAATTATGTGGCTAGTGAAGGAAAACCCAAAGCAACGCACGTTATTGCCTCACCTTTTCTGAATTTACTGTAAACAGATGAAACTTAAACATACAAACAAAACCACCCCCCCACACTATTATAGCATTTTTTGACACATTTCCTTCCTGTGTCTGTTATTTATATTTTGGTCGGTGTTGTATTATTATGATAGCCTGACTGAAATCTCTGGGCCTTGCACCTTTTGACATTTAACAATGGCATGTGACCGATGGGGGTAGGGACGGGCTATCTATTTATACCACACAGGTACTTTTCAGCTACCTCTGGTGTTTCTGAGTTAAGGGTGGAAGTGTGAACCAGTCACAGTGTTGTGAGTTACTGTCCTTAGCAGAGCGTTAGTTTTGCTGAGGCTGCCTAGTGCACTGTGGTTCTGTGTTTAGACTAGGGGCCTGGGAAAAGATCAGGTGGTTTTGTCATTTTCATGTAGAGGTTTTTGTCTTTCTCCCTGTAGTTGTGAGACGACTACATCTAGACATTTATTTACATTCAGTCACTTAGTTTGTAAGGGAAAGCTCGCCATTGCTCCTGCCATGCACAGTCCCTTAGGACTAAATTCTCAGTTACACCATTAGAAATGTTTTATGGCCGGGCTTGTTTATATGATGCAGTGTATGGGCTGTCAGGCTGCAAAGTGGAAACACACTCGAAGGTAGGCATAGCTGGCAGTTTCCTAAAGCCTCTTTAAGCCTGGCTGTTGGACCCAGCTAGATTAAGGTGCCTGAGTTTTTTAGTGTATGTCTTCAGTCCATACTGAACAAACACTTTGGGGTCATGATGTACCTTTGGCAATACTGCCTGGAGGATGGTTCTCAGTGCCCAGAGCTACTCTGAGGATTCTGTGCTTGAGTTTAGGTTTCAACACTTTATCGAGGGGCAAAGGGAAAGAGATGCAAGCCCTAAGAAGGAGTAGCTGAACTTGATGAACTAGACAGGAGGGGCAGGTTTACCGGTGTTTGTGACAGTACTCTGAGATTCTCATCTTCACATAATGCTCCATGGCAACGCCTAAGACATTTTAGTCTGTGCAATGTGGACAGGGGAAAGAAAACTGTCACAGGAATGATTTATGCTGATTTTCCTACTTTGTGCATCCTGATGCTTGTAATTTCTTAACTGTTGGGGGCAGTAGTGTCTAGTCAGTTGTAATCTTTGAGGAATAAAGGTGTGGAGGGCTAGGGGTTACAATAGAGTGGTTTTTTTTTTTTTCTTGTTTCTGACTGGCTGGGAGTGAGTCACCTTAACCTGAGGTCTGTATTCCTTTAGGATAGGAGGGGCTGCCTGAAAACAGTATATGCCCTATGTCCTAAGTCTGAGATATCAAAACCAGTGGCTGAATTCACATAGGAGCCTGACTTAGTTCTCTTTATGGATTATTTGCTAGTTTTCAATTTTTCAATAAAAATGTGAAAGCTGTCTAAATATCTAAATCAAAGTGTAGTTTTACTTTTTCACATTATGGAAGTAATATATACTTGTTATTAAACACCTGGACATATAAAAACTAAAAGTCTTGAAGAAATTACATCTGGATTCATTTTCTTCCAGTTTTATAAGAAATTGAAAAATAATTTTAAGGCATATATGGTCGTTTGAAGTTGAACATTTTGACAATTCAGCTTTTTAAAAATTAACCCTTATATTCCTTTTATATGTGTGGATAATCAGCCTGCATACATGTCTATCCACCCCATTCATGCAGTCCTTGAAGAGTCTAGAAGAAGGCTTTGGATGCTTGGGGACTGGAATTATAGATGGTTGGGGACCACTGAGATACTGGGAATCAAACCCAGATCCACTGAAAGAGCAACCAATTCTTTTAACTGCAGAGCCATCTTTCCAGACTGACAAGTCATTTTTTTTTTTTTTTTTTTTTTTTTTTTTTTTACGAGACAGGGTTTCTCTGTATTGTTTTGGAGGCTGTCGGTCCAGCCTGGCCTCGAACTCACAGAGATCCGCCTGCCTCTGCCTCCTGAGTGCTGGGATTAAAGGCGTGCGCCACTACCGCCTGGCCTGACAAGTCATTTTTAACCACCTCAGTTACATGGTGATCTATCCCCCAGGTTTGTTTTAAGTGAGCTTTGGATATGACCACTTTTGGTGTATTCATTACTCTTTTTGTTGATTTCAGAACAATTTACCAAGTTCTTTTCTCTGGTTAAACATATACGTGTTTAAAATAAAACATCTTTAAAAAAACTCATGGTTTTATAACTGATTTGAAAATTATAAATAAATGGCTTTTAATGGACTTTGGGTTTCGTCCCAAAGAGCTGTTGAAATAAGGATTTTATGGTTTGGAAAGATAAATGGAAAGAAGTTAGGGCATCAGGAAAGTGTGGTTTGCCTGGTAGAATGTTTCCCCATTTTGGGTGCGTCTTCTGATAACTGTATTATCTACGCATTTGCAGAGTTTTGGCTGCTGTAGAAATTGGCACTTCCCACTCAGGTTTGTTGTAGGAGACCTGTCTGGAGCCCCGGGGGTCAGAACACCGTTGTAAGCAGAATTTAGAGAAAGCTGCAGCAGGACTGGACTCTCCTATTAGGCTCAGCTGTCGGTCAGCTTAGGGACCAGTTTAGGGACAGGAGTGGTGACAAAAATAGCCAGTGGATTCTGTCCTTGGTGCTTCCCATATTCCTTAGTCCCCCAGCGGCCCCATGGCAGTGGTTCTCAACCTTGCCAAAGCTGAGACCCTCTAATGTAGTTCCTCGTGTGGTGGTGGTAACCCCAACCATGAAACTATATCCATTGCTCCTTCACAACTGTAAGTTTGCTACTGTTGTGAACTGCAATTTAAATATCTGATATGCAACCCCTATGAAGGGTTGTCCGCCCCCACCCTCCCCTCTGCAAAGGTTGAGGGCTGCAGCTCTATGACATTTAGAGATTAAGTTGGATTTGAGCCTAGGCTGCTGCCTGGCTTTGGGGCCTGTGCTCTCAGATGCTTCCCTCTGTCTCTCTTGAGCCAGGTTTCTCAGACTTGGGAAATTCTACTCTACTCATCCAGTAACAAGGCAAGGCAAGTGTGCCATTGACACTCAGCTGTGAATGTTCTCTTTTTCACACCACAGAAGCAGTGGGCTAAGTACAGCAGGGCGGCTGTGGGTGAAGTCGGGTGTGAGGAGCATGGGGGGAATCCACACACAGTCGTTTCTATCTCCTGGAGCCTCAGCATCTCTTCAGACAATCCCTGGCCTCTGAAAGCCAGGCTTCCTCATGTCACAGATGCAGTAGCGGCGGTGCAGGCAGACTGTGACTCATTCAGGGTTACACAACCTGCCTTCCCCTCTGGCCATCTCACACACACACACACACACACCGAGTTTGTTCCTGGGCCCGGTGCCTGTTCGAGGAATAGCTGGCCCCTAGACTTGCCCTTGACTTAACATCCTAAAACTCGGGCAGTCAGCGGGTGTCTGCTTATTGTAATCTACGCTCTGTCCAACACTTCTCAGTGTGCACCTGTTTCTTCCTTGCCTTCCTAGTAAGTTCGCAGTCTGTTATCTCCCGTGTAGGCAGCTCATGCCCTTGTTAAGGAGAAAAGTAAAAGGAAGCAAAGCTGAATATGATGGCACCTGCTCTCCCAGCACTTGGGAGGCTGAGGCAGGACAGCCACTGTAAGATGGAGGTCAGGCTGGGCTACTTAATGAATGAGCTTTGGGTGCTAGCGTCGACTAGAGAACGAGACCCCCACCTCAAAAGTGAAGAAAAAAAGGTGATGTTGGATAAGAAAGAAAGGAGTTTTTTTCTGAAGCAGAGTCTTTAGTCTTTCAAGGACTTCTGCAGCCTGTCTCAAAGCCCCATGAGCTGGGACATTAGGACAAGACACTGGGAGCATGGGGCTGAAGGATCTATGTGTACCCTAAGACTCTGTGAGCTGGGCCGATCCCTGAATTGCTGGCCTGTATCCCGGAAGGAGGCGCGGGCCTCAAAAACCCTGTGTGCCTGTGTCTGCGTTGACCTTTCTATAATGTTGATCATTTTCTCAACCTTTTCCCTCTGAGAGCTGCTGCTCAGAGGTATTTAATGTGACTCTCCTTTCAGAGTCTCTCATACACTGGCACTCAGTGAGGGTGCAACAGCTACCAAACTGGGGGCTAAAATGTTGAGGTAGGCCTATACCAGTTAAAAATGACTGTGGTCGGTCCCAAGTGTCCCGACCCCTAGTCCAGAAACTGGAGTCTTTTTCAGTGGTTACTTAATATTTTAGGAAGCATTCTGCCTCTGACTTGCATGTTTCTTGGTATGTGTGTCTAGCTTTCATCCTTATAGGAGCACTTCAACCATTCGGTGACCACTAATGTGACCTCTAGGTAAGAAGCAGATCTGGTCACTGTTGTTTCTATATAATCAGAAATGTTCCTGGGCCCCGAAACGAGGTATTGTCCTTGACTTGTCTCCAGACCCAGTCAGTGGGCAGGGTCTGCTTAGTCTCATGTACTGTCTGAACAACAGCACCCAGCGGGCACCTGATCCTTGCTCTGATTCTCAGTACCACCATCCAAGTCTGGAATCTGCCACCGCCAGTGTAGAAGGGGATAGCTGCTTTCATTGAAGCCCAGCTCCGATCACATCCCTCCT